CTTCCAATGCTGGTTGTGCTCAAATTGAAAACTAATTTTATGGAGCAGCCGTCTCCATTAAGGTGGCAGTTAAAAGGTCCCGATGGCCTAAACAGGCTCCTGATGTTAACTGTGCCCAGGAAAGCCCAAAACGCATTAAGCTGAGAGTGCAACCAGCTCACAGATAAAGGGTTCTCGTGTTCGCTGCACCGCTGGATGAGAAACAAAACCGCAGCATGGAAAGATTTAAAAGGTATCGTGGTAGGCTGTAACAAACCCCACCAGCCCCTGGAGGCGGTTTGTGTGGTCAGGACAGCGGTTTCGCTCCAGCAACCCAAACGCTGGGATCTCTGACGACATTCCATCACTGTCGCTCATTCTCTGATGAATGACTTTCTGAAACATTTAAAAAAGGAAGAGACATTGCAGCAGTTCTAGTTCTCTGCCTGATGTTCCTTCTGCAGTGGCGCGACACTGACCTGGCTGCAGTTTGTTTAGAGGCTTGAATAAACGCAAAAAAATAAAGTAAGGGGGGTGGGGGTCCCCTAAAAGATCAGCAAAGACCTCACCCACTGAGTGAGAAGAAAGGGTTATGGGCCGATACCGATTTCTGACTCTTGTACAGCTTCAGACCTGCTGATACAAAACTCCAAGAGCGAAGAAAAAATGCATGAAAATGTTTTTTAATGAATTTATTTTTTTAATATTTGGTGCATTCATGGGCTGAAGGCAGGGAAAGCATCCTGTCCAGGGTGTCCCCCGCCCGCCCACTGGAGACAGACACCGGCTCCCCAAGACTCTTCTGAGGCAGAAGTGGTTCAGATGAGTTCCTCACCTGAACAGGAAGGTTTTGGACCAGCTTTTGTGGAGCTTGACTGTTTGGGAGGAGATGAGAGTTAAACTGCTGCGACTCCAGAGCCAGCTAAAGCCGTCTGCACAGCTGGGGCAGACCCACGAGTCACTGGAGAGGTTCTATCACACAGCTGACCTGGGAACACCTGGGGGTCCCTCTGGATGAGCAGGAGGAGAAGGTGGGGGGTCTCTGCTGAAGCTGTTACCCTTGGTGACCCGGTTCCAGATAAGCGACAAAACACGAATGGATGAAAAGCTCCAGGCTTCCGAGACACAAGGTTTCCGCCTAGCGACAGCAGGCTCTTTCGGGTTACTGATAGAATGATGTTAACAGGATATTATTAGGGTTGTGCACGTGTACCGCAAATAATGATGACCTTTGGTCTTATTTTGACCCAAGGTCAAGAAGCAGGCTCAGTAAAAAACAACAAAATAGCATCAAATCAATTAAAACAAGGGAAATTAAACGTAGAAAACTAAGTCAAGTGAAATAAAGAAGAAAAACTGACAGAGAAGTGACACGTTTCAAAATTAAATGAAGGGAACTAAAAGAATGATAAAGCTGCAGAAAACATGAGATGAAGAAGAAATAAAACGTAGTTAATATAATGAACAATGGGCGGGGTTTGGGTTGGTTACAGATGATCTTACTAAGTGAAACTTAAACACACTTCATCCATCTGCAGGATCATCTGCTGCTGGTTCTGATTTAGTTCAGCATCAGAGGCACAACGGTGTGGAGGAACACTCCTCTAACCGGAGACAGCTGTGCTCAGAGACGACCCCTAGAGCCCAAACAGAGACATGCTGAAAAACAGAATTTAAGGGTTCTGCTCACCAAGAACCTAGAGGGTAAATCTGTCCCCGGCTACCAGTGATTAGACCAAGTTATTGTAGCATTTCTCACGGCGATTTGATTTTTGTGTTCCATAACTTCAGGAGAAGAAGCTTTTCTCTTTTTCTTTGGTTTTTAAAAACTGGAAAAAGCTAAATTAACTGCAGAAAAAGCCAGAAGTTCAGGAGACATTAAGTCTCAAAGCGTCAGTGACATGATGACAAATAAAAAATAAAATATGCAAAGTGAGACAAAATATTCAGGTACACACAAGGCTTCTTGCTTGAAAAAGTAAAAAGGGTTTATATGTAATCAAAATGGGGAGAAGGTCCTGATATAAATGATCGGATGTAATTTCCTATTAGGAAGGCCGGAGAACATACCGGTTCTGTACCTGCAGGGTTCTTAAACAAACCCCGCAGTGAGCTGGTATGAAGCCCCTCCGACCGGAGTCTAACACAATAATCAGATGAGGATATTTTCAATTCAAGTTTATTTATAAAGCGCCAAATCACGACAAGAGTCATCTCAAGGCACTTCACATAATAAACATTCCAGTTCAGGACAGGTCATTAAGCCAATCAGAAATCATGTTTCCTATATAAGGAACCCAGCAAATCGCATCAAGTCACTGACATATTTCCTGATATGATCTTCAGAGCTAATTCCTAAAATATGCTGCAGAAGGGGAAGTATTAATGGTCATTACACACGGCAGTGTGAACGAAAAAGGAAGTTTGCTTCTTCCGACTGAATAAAGATAAAGCAGCTGTCATCAGGAACGTGGTGTTAGGAGGACGACCTCGTCATAGCTGGCTTTTAGAAACATGGATATTTTTATTAAAACAATTCCTCTTCATTATGTGCTAGACGTGTGTGTGTGTGTGTGTGTGTGTGTGCGTGTGTGTGCGCGTGCGTGTGCGTGCGTGCGTGCGTTAGTTACAGTCTCTCATGATGTTTTCCCTCTGTCACCTTCACTCTGTGAGTGCAGCCTCTGGTGGACGCTGTGTTTCTGACGGTCTGAACACAGACTAATTGTTTTTCACCGTCATCCTCACCCGCCTGTTTGTGTGTTTTGCAGCAGTTGCATGACAATCAATCAATCAATCAATCAAAAGCTTTAGCCCAAAGAGCTGAACACGGTACATGAGAAAAAAAGGTAAAAACATTCAAGTAGAAGACAAACGGGTAAAACAAGATAAAGGGAATTAAACCAACATACAAGAGGGCCTGACTCAAACATGTTCAGGGAACGCCAAGCGGAGGAGGTGGGTTTTTAGGTGATTCTTGAAGACTGGCAGAGATGGGGACAGCCTAACTGAGGGTGGCAACTGGTTCCAGAGTAACGGTGCTAGGACCGAGAAAGCCCGGTCCCCGCGGGTACGACACCTAGACCGAGGGACAGCGAGCAGGCCTTGGTCAGAGGAGCGCAGAGCGCGTGATGGGGAATGTCTGTTCAGGAGAGTGGCCAGATAGGGGGGAGCAACACCCTGGAAGAAATGATAAACAAAGACGAGGAGTCTGACGTGTGAACGATAGCAAATCGGAAGCCAGTGCAGGGAGGCCAGAACCGGACTGATGTGGTCCCGTTTCCTGGTCCCAGTCAGGAACCTGGCTGCGCTGTTCTGCACAACCTGTAGGCGACGCAGTGATGACTGACCCAACCCTGCATAGAGAGAGTTGCAGTAGTCAAGCCGAGAAATTACAAAGGCATGCAGTACCCGCTCCAGGTGGGCTCTCGACAGCATAGGCTTGATTTTAGCAAGGCGTCTCAGGTGAAAGAAACTGGACCGGATCACAGAGTTGATGTGAGCATCAAATTTAAGTCCTGCATCAAGTTTCACCCCCAAACTGGTCACAACTGGTTTTGAGTATGGAGAAAGAGGGCCAAGATCAGCATAACGATCCACATTCCTGCTGTTGGGGTGAAAAACAATGAGCTCTGTCTTTCCCTCATTCAGATGTAGAACGTTGGCCATTAGCCAAGACTTCACCTCGTTAAGACAGGAGACAAAGGACTGGATAGAGTGACCTTTCTCCTGACACAATGGTTGTTGTGTCCTTGGGCAAGACACTTAACCCACCTTGCCTGCTGGTGGTGGTCAGACGGACCGGTGGCGCCTGTGCTCGGCAGCCTTGCCTCTTTCAGTGCGCCCCAGGGCAGTGTGGCTACAGTGTAGCTCATCACCACCAGAGTGTAAATGTGTGTGTGAATGGGTGAATGACTGATTGTGTTGTAAAGCGCCTTGGGGGGTTCCAGGACTCTAGAAGGCGCTCTATCAAATACAGGCCGTTTAATTAACTACTTTAGTCAGTCCAGTTCAATATGGTGGCCGTGGCCAGCTGTCTTTAGCGGACACAAAAATGAGCTACAACTCCGTTTTACACTTGCTAAGCGTAGCAGCTGAGACCTGTCCACCGAGAGCAAACAGCTCAAGCAGTTCTGAAAGAGATTCCTGCAAACTTTATCTTGAAGAAGCAGCTTTAATCTTCTACTTCTAGATAATTCTGTATCTGACAAACTCACCCGCGCAGATTCAGCTCAGACAGAAAACACAAACACAGGATTTTACCAACCCAACGTTGAGACTTATTTAAATGTATTGCTGCAGCTTGAGAAGCTTGAAGAAGAGAGTCGACAAGGTGGGGCATCAGGTTTTCTCTCACCTCTTCTCTGAAGTGACTGAAGTCAGCAAAGTTTGGCTGCTGCACTTTATTCTGGGGAGTTTTCTCCGAAACGGTGAGAAAATGAGGAACCTGAGAAGAGATGAGCAGCTCTGATCTACCGGTTTCTTTTTCACGTTCACACACTTGCATAGGTAGATCTCAGGTTTAAGACCAGATTAAAACCGAGACTTACTTGTGAGGCTGATGGTCTGGGAGGGAGGGCTGGAGGATGCAGCAGCCATCCACCTTTTACCCCTGAAATCCAAGAAACGTAATTATTTTCTCACTAAAGATGTTATGTCTCAGTTTGCCTTCAGAGCTAGAGTCTCACTCTCTAAAAGATAAGTAAACCAACCTTTCCCTGGTTTGCTCTCCTGTGAGCCTCTCCTCGTTCACACTAAACAATAAACACACAACACACTTGCGTGCTTTGGAAGAGCTTTCCGTGTTATACCTGGCGCCCCCTGCTGGAGGAGCTTGTTGAGGTCCAGCGAGGAGGCCCTGGAGTGGGTTTTCTGAGGGCGTGGAGGTGGGGTGGGAGGCTCCTCCACCTTCTTCATAGCATCTTCAATAGAAGTGCTGGAGTAGGACCTGGAGGAGAGGAATCATCAGCAACAGAACTACTAAGGAACCAGTTAGTGGGGTGAACTAGATAATAAGTGAGCCAAATTCATGTTTCTGCTAAAACTGAGTCCATCCTCACCTCGGTCTGGTTTTTGTCTTCATCTGTGGGTCTAAGTCCTGAGGTGGCTCTGTGGGAAAGAAGCGAACCAGCACATGTGAAGCTTTCAGTTTTGTTTGAGAGGCTAATGACAAACAGCCACTTCCCTCTAGTTAGGAGCTCAGACGGCTGACTTTGTTTTTATTGACGATATTATTATTAACACACTAAATACTTTAAAGGCCATTATATCTATAAGATGCCTCTTTCTCAAAGCTGAAATCCAAGAAAGCCAAACAAAAATAAAAGGAAGTCCTCCCAGAGCGCTGGTCCTGGCTGCATCTGAAGCATCTAACACAGGAGCAGAGAGAACTCTCAGGTTTACACGCGCTGAAACCAGTTTCATCATCACCTGGTCGATCAGGAAAAGCTCCCTGACGTAGACGCGGTTTCTCTTGAGATGAGGTCAGGCTCTTCACACTTGCCTCTGCAGACAGACATCAGTCATGCACACACAATTTGTTATCAATGCGGTGCATAAATTATGAATTAGCTTTAATCTATTATTTTATCCTGCCTAAGTAATGGACGTGAGATGGGAGGTGTTGGTTGGTGCTGTTTTGGATATTTCAAATGATCCCATCTGACTTTAAACTCCCAAGCATCTTCTACAACCCTCTCTCTGCTGAGTGCTGTACCGATTACCTTCTTTAAGCGGTTCTTCATCCAGTTCTTGCTTGTTTGAGCTCAAGCTTGGCTGCAGCCTCACTGTGATGCGTTGACCCTAAATAAAAGCACACGTCAACGGCTGCAGGGACTAATGCCAAGTTTAGGTGTGCTGAATATTTCAGGAAGCAGAAGTTTCTTTTTGAGTCCCCATGCTGCAGTTTTAACTCCTGTTTAGTGTGTTAGTGCCCTCTACAGGCAGAACATCAAATACACCATCTCACCATCTGATAAGACCGTGGTTCTGCATCCTCAAAGACAATCAAAGGCTCCGAACTCTGTCAACAACACAGTTTAAAAGTCTTAGCTGAGTCCAACTTGGAAAACAAATGCTGTTGCATGTTTACTGCTCACTTCAGGGGTGTCAGGTATTTCCTCTTCATGCTGCATGAACCCAGGCTGCAGGGCTGCAGGGAGGCTCTCTGGGAGGGCGTAACCATTCTTGCGGGCCACGATCAAGTGAAAGGCTATGCAGAACTCCGTGAAGGTGAGTGCTCCATCTCTGTCCACGTCACTCAGTTCCCTTCAAATAAAAAAGGAAGGCATGAAAAAGATGATAAAACCAGCAACATTTGAGGTTGGAATAAAAAAAATCTCTTGTAAAAAAAAAAAAGTACAAATTCAGAGAAAATAAACAGTGCCCCCCCCCCCCCACCCCCCGAAAAAAAGAGCACAATCTTTGGAGGCTGTGAATGTTTAAATGGGTTGAGCCGCTGCTAGTAAAATGTACAGAATAAAGTGGTGAATGAGTGGCTTCTGTGTATCATAACCAGGGGGACAACGCCACCTGCAAAAAGTAAAGCCAACCAGGAAGTGACCAAAACTGCAGTTCCCTCCTCCTCCACTAGGGACTGGATCCAGAAAGGAGCAAGTTCCCATTGACTCAAATGAACTCATTCACTGCCAGCGTTTCTCGCCGTTTTTACTGTTTTTTTAAGAGTGACAGAACGTTGCGCGCTACGATGATGTCGATGCCAAAACAGCCAAAACAAAGTGGAGACTCACCTCTTACATCAGGAAGAATCTGCGTGTTTCGAGCGTTATCCGTTCTTTCATAATCCGTTGTTGAATTGTGATCGGCAGAAGCTTTTCCGGTCCACGCCTCACTTTTTTTTTACAGCAGCGGCCCAAAACGATCTCCTAACACATGGATTTTCTGCTTCTTGATCATGTGACGTGTGACGTATGCGGATGAAGATCGGCTTCAGAGCTGAGATGTTCGTTCTCTCGACTCGGGGGCTCGTTCCGATTGGCAGTGAATGAGTTAAAAATGCCCACTTCACAGCAGAAATAAGCACGTTTACAGCCGGGTTCAAGAAGGGTTAGGTTTAATAGGTCAAGTTTAACGTCATGAAAACTCGGAGGGGTGAATTTAACTCTTCTGTTTAGATTGAGGCGATTTTTACTCCAGACAAAAATAGCAAGAGGTGATCAGTAAACAGGGACGTCAGGGATCAGGTGAGTCAAGACTTACCAAATGTGGGAGAGCTCTGGTATCGGCAGCTTGGATTTAGTGAAAAAGTTCTTTGCTACAGCTCCTGGAAACAGCAAACAGTGATGGAATGGTCTGATTTTGATTCTGAGTCATAAACAGGTGCCAGGGAGTCCGTACCCAGGATCCGGGCTCCCATGTCAGGCTGGAGGCTTTTGAATTGATTCGTGTAATACTCCAGCTGTTCTCCTGTGATCCTCCAGGCGTCATCATCAGAGTAGTCCACTGTCCCCGGCTGACTGGGCCTCTCTGCTGAGAATGCCTGAAAACATGAGTGAAGAGAGACTTTAGAAAATAAAATGTTAGGAAGCAGCTGCTAGAGGGAAGCGGGCTGCACCTGAAGATGCTCCATGGTGGGTTTGACACCATAGTGGCAGGGAGAGGAGTGCTGCTCCAGCGGAACCATCGGTCGGGAACTACGTTTACTTTCAGGAGCTGAAACGAGAAGAAAAACTTTGTTATAGGAGCAGCCTGAAACTAGCATGTGCAGATAAATCTCAGGGATCCAGACATTTATGGGTCAGAAATGGTGAAAAGACAAGTTTAAGACTGAATGAACACGACTGGAATGAAGTAACAGAAAATGTTCTTACTGATCTGAGCCTCAACGCCGTTTCTCTGCTTGGCATATGGGTAGCTGTGGTAGGCGAGAGGAGACCGAGGTGGCGAGCTACATGGGGAACGAGGTGGGGACCACGGCTCCTTCAGTCAGAAACCACAAAATGTTTCACATAAACGCTTGTCCGCATTTAGCATCCGTACTCGGCTAATGTGCCAAAATATGCATGTTTGCAGCAACATCAGGAGAGAGAGACGATTTAGGTCTTTAAAAAGATTTGTCATCGTTTCTGTGTAAAGGATTTAATAATCTGATGGTTGCAGAAAAGGGTAAAACACCAGTTTAAGACACACACACACACACGCACGCATAATACTCTTTGTGAATAGCCTCTACTCGGAGAAATAGAGTTCAAATTCAGTAGGACTGGTGAGCTAACAGCTAGCTGGAGCTCAGCCACGACTAAAGCGTTGTACTGCAGTCGTATGATGTTCCAGTCTTCAAACCTTCACAGAGATGCATACAGACGCTTGCCCTGCCGCCACTTTATCAGCAGCACGTGATTACGTACACGCATACATATCGCCCGTTGGTGCGCTCAAAGGGTCATGCAGAAATTTTTAAAAACATTTCTACCAAAATAAGCTGAGTGAAAAATAAAAGAAGGTATTAAAAAAACTACAATAAAACTCTGGATCTGAAAATGGAAAAAAAATGACAATCTTGATTTTTATTCTTTAAGATAAAAGAATTGGCCAACACGGGTACCATGTATGGTAAGTTGGCTCATTATATTAGCTCGATTGAAAATGGATGAACCATTACTTTATACCATCTTTTATCCCTAAACAACCACCCAGATGAAATATTTAGGCATAAAAATGAATCAAGAAGCATTATTTATACCTAATAATAACAATAATAATAATAATAATAACAATGCTGTCTCAAAACAGCTGTATTTATGACGTTTTCCCAGTTTTCAGCCAATGAAGTACTTGGCATTAGGTAAAATTTTGATTTGATGAGGTGAACAAGTAACGAGTATGTCACAGGTTGCTATAGCAACTAGGGATGAGCCGGATACTCGTTTCAGACGAGTACCCGCTACGGATAAAGCGTTTTGACGAATACGAGCATGACACGAGTAAACCTGGTAAATATCTGTAATCGTGCTGAAGGAAAATCCTCATTGGGTAACTGACTGTCTTCACGCTCTGTGATTGGCCAGTCTCATAGAGCGCCCGCCCCTCCCTACACACAAAACTCTCTAGCCGGCCGGGTGCGCAGTCCGTCCGGCTCATCCACGCACACACACACACACACACACACACACACAGAGTAACGGATCTCGCTGTGATGGTTTCACTGTTGCTCACGTTTCTTCAGGTTTTCTTCAGCTCGCCTCTTTTTCAGTTGAATATTTAAAGTTACTTTTTTCGTAACTTACACGGTGCATTTGACAAGTCAGAGCTGACGTGCTGCGTCACTCACTACCTCCGCTCCGGTCTTTTATTTTTTTAACTCACTCTCTCTCTCTCTCTCTCTCTCTCTCTCTCTCTCTCTCTCTCTCTCTCTCTCTCTCTCTCTCACACACTCACACTCACACTCACACACACTCACACTCACACTCACACACACCTTAATCAACATTGTTTTGTTTAACTTTGTGTGGCAAAATGCCAAGAACGTTTAGAAAAAAATCAGTTTAATCAAATTAAAATAAAAAAATATACATAAAGTTGTGTCTGGTTCTAGTATTTCATATTTCCTAGTTCCTACTGCATGAGTTCAGATGTATTAATCCATGCACTTAAATATTAATGTTCTGATTTTACTGAAACACTTGTTCTGTAATAATTTACTATTGTGATCGAAAATATTTAATCTCTATTCTCAGGCTGATCTGTAAATAGTTTTCAAATAAACAATACACACATCAACTTCTGATCATTCCTTATCAATTTCAGATTTAAAATAATATATTGATGTAAACCACGCCCCTTCCGGTTAAACCACGCCCACCTCCGGGTTATGCCACGCCCATTCCGAGTACAGATACAGATAGTGGTGTACTCACTCACCCCTAATAGCAACCATGAACGCCGATCAACAGTGCATATTAGGTTGATTTACAAGGTTCACCTTTTTGTCTGCACTGGTCTCCACGGGCCTGAAGGTGCTCCTGTCAGCAGGAGTCCAGGAGACGGGAGCAGACCCGCACTGAGCCCCCTGTGCATCTGGGCCAGGAGGAGCTGCTGGGTGTCGCACATCTGGCTCATGCTTAAGCCCAGCAAATCTGGGCAGAGGTAGATCTAAAATAACACATTTTTATTATTATAGGCTACTACTCCTTTATTTGAACTGACACTATGTCTGGTACACTGGCAACAGCCTCCTTTATGCCACTGAAAGCAGATTTATCTGATCAGTTACAGAAATAAATAAAAAGTAAAACTGTCCATGGAAAACTCTGCAGTCATTTTACACCTAGGGTCTACTCTAATTTACATTTCAAGTTTGATTTTGGTCCCAAAATTGTCCCAAAAACAATGGAATTAAATAGAAAATCATCTTGTTACATACTGCTTATTTTGTTATGCCTTCAGAACGACGCACACGGACCCTAACCCAAACTTACACGGCACCTCGATTATTCTCAACCTGGCCTCACAGTGGATAGAAACCTCTGAACACCATGACCCATAACCCTTTGAGCTCTGAAGAAACAAACCATCAACAGTCTCTGATGGGGGTGTGACTGATGGTGCCCTCTTTTAATAAGAGCAATCCCACTTAGTGGTTTCTACACAACTCCCTTTGCATCCAGATTAGAACAAATCCTCCTTGCTAAAACAAGCCCCTGATCCCTTTTTGCTGCTGTAAGACGCCTCGGCTCACAGCAGCACACTTACTGGTGGTGCTCACGCTCTCCAGGCGGATGGGCAGACCTGACTGGGCGGCTGCTAGCAGCTTCAGGGCGATGTAGAACTGGGGAGTACCAAAGTAACCCAGATGCTTTGCTCCACAGACCTCGGTCACCTGGGATGGACACAAGTGACAGACCAGGATTATAAAGTGAGATTCAGCAGGAGTCAAAGATCCAAACAAGATGGGCAAAACAGTTTTCAGAACTTGATCAAATAATAGGCGGTACAAAAATATGAGCTTTGCTTCCAGAACAAAGGCAGAGGAAAGCGTTTGTGAGGAATAAGCTGCAGTTCATCCTGCACTCTTTTGATGAGAGACAATAACTGCTTTGAGGGGAGCTGAAGAGATTAGGGTCATACAGGACTCAACACTGAAAAAACTTTCATAAACACTCAGCTGAGACAACGTGCCTCTACAAATAAAAACTGTAGGAACATAATATAAAAGTAAGAGTTAGAAAATGTTTACACCTTGTATGGATCGAACACTTAAACATCTAGTCCTCTCTTCTGTTGAGGAACGATTTATAACACACACACACACACACACACACACACACACACACACACACACACACACACACACACACACACACACACACACACACACACACACACACACACACACACGCGCGCGCACACACACACACACACGCACGCACGCACGCACGCACACACACACACACACACACACACACACACACACACACACACACACACACACACACACACACACACACGCGCGCGCACACACACACACACACACACGCGCGCACACACACACACACACACACACACACACACACACACACACACACACACACACACACACACACACACACACACACACACACACACACACACACACACACACACACACACACACACACACACACACGTCTGTTTTAAACTGGATTTAAAATGGTAATCCACTCAAGTATTCTAGTATGAGGAAGTAACTTTAGTCAACAATAACAACTTAGGTCCCCGCTGACATACATTTTGGAGTACCGGGGAAACGATACGATATAAGGAGACACTAAAAGCCAGACGATAACTTTAACTGGAACACCGACACATCCAGTGTTATCCTGTGATGTCATTGTGTCTGAAGGAAGGCTGTAAAAACTGCTGCCACCTAGCAGTCAGTGTTAGAATTGCATCACCAAAAAGAAATACCGTAATTCCTGTAAATTCTAAATAAAACCTCGATACACTGCTTTTAAATATCTATTCAGTGTGACAACACAGAGCATTGTGATATTTCAGTGTATCTATATTTTCTGACATCCCTAATTAGCTCTGAGGAAGCTAGCTCAGCGCATCACTTTCTACACTGACTTTCATCCCCAACAAGCTGTCTCCAGATCATCATGAAAGCCCAATAACACCAGGTATTACATGAATGACTTTAGCATAACTCTTGCACAGGTGTGAACTCTTGTAAACACTTCCTGGTGTGTGTTTATGAAACAAGTGACATGGCTCATGTAAATTCATGTTTTCTAATGAGGCTGAGGGGCTAATCCAGTACGTGGCTCCTGCTGCGTTAAGGGAGATAATAATAATAATAATAATAATAACAAAATAATATTGCACATCTGTGTACTGCTTTTTGATGTAAGCGAGTCAACGTGTTAAATTGCAATCATTCAGACCCTGGTGGGGAAAAACATGGTTGAGACAGCAGCCCTGGTGCACACAGAGGTGCCACCGGTCCCTCGGACCACCATCAGCAGGTAAGCAGGGTGGTGTCTCACCCAAGGACATGACCGACACAGACACAGTCTGGTTCCCACCACAGCCCAGCGATTACAGGGTACAGTCCTAACCCGAGCCACCGTCATCCCTCTGCATCGTCCTCATACCGCTGCGAACCAGACTGAGGGGTTTAACGTTATTCATGCTATAGCATCATCCCTGTTGGGGTTTGTGGGTATGAGAACATTATTCTGAACGTGACTCAGAGTCAGCACTTTACCTCTTGTTTACCTTTACAGGCAAATGAGCTGTAACCAAATGAAAGCAGCTAAACTGCAGTTTTGTACTGATCGGTTGGAAACATCTCTTCTTCATGTTCATGTTTATTCATTTGGCAGATACTTGTACTTTGTCCCACTACTGCTGATTTCTGTTCCTTTACGGCTAATCTAAAACTCAATGCTATAAACAAACAGACCCTTCTGCCATATTCTGGACATTTTTAAGTGTTTTTCTTAGAAAAAGTAATAAAGCAGGTTTGGCATGTCTATAAATTTACTTCACAATGTCCTGGTGGACTCACACTTGTTTCCTGGATGAGCGGGGGTTAGGGTTTACCTGTGTTTTCTTGGCCTAGGATAAAAGCCAGCCCCTATTTCGACCAAGCCCAATCAGACAACATAAAAAATGTAGGAGCATGTTTCATTTTGGTGCAAGTTAGGGATTTCAGGTTGATTTTTCCACCGCTGGTGCCAAACAAAAACACCTTTACACCTTGATGTGACAACAGATCCAGATCACTCCTGGTCCAGTCAAACCAGTCTGGCAGCTTCCTCTGCTAACGCCTCATAGGTGAACACACCTGAGCACAAACACGGTCTCCAGCGATCCAACTCAAACACAAGCTTAGTTTGTTCGTTAGAGGGGAAAATATTAAAATGATCTAAACCAGGAGCAGCCAGGCCCACAGGCTGCGTGTCAGGAAGTGTCACACTTCTCTGCTTATCAGCTGCAAACACAAAGGTCCTTCCTCACTGGTCTGGTTGGTGGAGCCAACTATGAATTATGCATATGGCTCATACTGGAAAACACTCTTTGCTTTGACAGTTATCAGCGACTATTTACAGCAATACACAAGAATCCCAAACCATAACACGACATTCAGCTTAGCGGGCAGCCAGGTGCAAATGTTCTGTGACACTGTGACATGACGACAGAGAAGAAAGCCCCAGCAGAAGGAGTGATCCTGCAGACATCCTGCAGCGGGCCCGAGAGGGCTCCATGTCAATCAGCCCCGTGTAGTGGCGGCAATCCAGGCCGGGCAGGAAGGAAGCGCAGCTCAGTGCCAAACTTCCTGACACCCACACAGATGCACAATAGGAGAGCCTGCCCCTTCGGGACAGAGGGTAGCGTGAAACTGCAGCAGCATGCTGTGTTGTTCATCTGAGCTGGAAAAATATGTTTTTGTTCCTGTGATGGGTCAGCAAAATGACTTGGTGGTTGTGTGGTGAGGAAACACGGCCTTGATCTGTATCCGTATCTGGCAAAGAAAAGCAAACGGTCCCACTTACCCAAAAATATATGTTTCCATTAAAATTTGCTGACTAATGATCATGAAAATGAGCTCATCGTCACCCATACCAAACAGGCCAAAAACCACTTTAGTGCCTGTATTTACTGAGACACACACTGAACTGTATCTAAACAACTAAACTGTATCTAAACAACTGAACTGTATCTAAACAACTGAACTGTATCTACACAACTGAACTGTATCTAAACAACTGAACTGTATCTAAACAACTGAACTGTATCTACACAACTGAACTGTATCTAAACAACTGAACTGTATCTAAACAACTGAACTGTATCTAAACAACTGAACTGTATCTAAACAACTGAACTGTATCTAAAACAACTAAACTGTATCTAAACAACTGAACTGTATCTAAACAACTAAACTGTATCTACACAACTGAACTGTATCTAAACAACTGAACTGTATCTAAACAACTGAACTGTATCTAAAACAACTGAACTGTATCTAAACAACTGAACTGTATCTAAACAACTAAACTGTATCTACACAACTGAACTGTATCTAAACAACTGAACTGTATCTACACAACTAAACTGTATCTAAACAACTGAACTGTATCTAAACAACTGAACTGTATCTAAACAACTGAACTGTATCTAAACAACTGAACTGCATCTAAACAACTGAACTGTATCTAAACAACTGAACTGTATCTAAACAACTGAACTGTATCTAAACAACTGAACTGTATCTAAACAACTGAACTGCATCTAAACAACTGAACTGTATCTAAACAACTGAACTGTATCTACACAACTGAACTGTATCTAAACAACTGAACTGTATCTAAACAACTGAACTGTATCTAAACAACTAAACTGTATCTAAACAACTAAACTGTATCTACACAACTGAACTGTATCTAAACAACTGAACTGTATCTAAACAACTAAACTGTATCTACACAACTGAACTGTATCTAAACAACTGAACTGTATCTAAACAACTGAACTGTATCTAAACAACTGAACTGTATCTACACAACTGAACTGTATCTAAACAACTGAACTGTATCTAAACAACTAAACTGTATCTACACAACTGAACTGTATCTAAACAACTGAACTGCATCCAAACAACTGAACTGTATCTAAACAACTAAACTGTATCTACACAACTGAACTGCATCCAAACAACTGAACTGTATCTAAACAACTAAACTGTATCTAAACAACTAAACTGTATCTAAACAACTGAACTGTATCTAAACAACTGAACTGCATCTACACAACTGAACTGTATCTACACAACTGAACTGTATCTAAACAACTAAACTGTATCTAAACAACTGAACTGTATCTAAACAACTAAACTGTATCTAAACAACTAAACTGTATCTACACAACTGAACTGTATCTACACAACTGAACTGTATCTAAACAACTAAACTGTATCTACACAACTGAACTGTATCTAAACAACTGAACTGTATCTAAACAACTGAACTGTATCTAAACAACGGCTATTCAGAAACACACTTCAGATGATTTACACAACAGAACCAGCTTCAGGTGATAAGACAACAGAAGTCAGGAGTGAGGGACAACAACAAAACTAAATATGAATCTATGGAGTTGACTGATTTGTAGAAAGTTTATATTTTCCCAGTTAAAACCATATTTGAGCCACCATTCCAGAACAAAAGAAGCCGTGTACACATGACTGGTTTTGTGTTTATTGTTTTTCATTTTTAATCTCTTTTACAGCGGTGGCTCAGTAATGATTTTGAAAATAGGCCAAGCACATAGCTAACCCAGCAGATGTGATCTTTATCCCCAAGAACCTTTGAGGTCTTATTGACAGCTGATGACACCAGGAACTATTTCTTTGCACTACAGCACAAACTAGAAGCAAAGGCCTGACCTTGCTGCTCCTACTGGAGAGTGTAATTGGTCTGTGAGGGAAGGAGCAGCTGATGGTGAGGACACATCCATCCAAACTCACAGCGTTGTTCAGACTGACTCCCAGTATGAGAGACAGACACAAGCAGACCGACAGACAGACAGACCGACAGACAGACACAGACAGACAGACAGACACAGACAGACAGACAGACAGACAGACACAGACAGACAGACAGACAGACAGACACAGACAGACAGACAGACAGACACAGACAGACAGACAGACACAGACAGACAGACAGACAGACAGACAGACAGACACAGACAGACAGACACAGACAGACAGACAGACAGACAGACACAGACAGACAGACCGACAGACAGACAGACACAGACAGACAGACAGACAGACAGACAGACAGGTGAAGGAAAGGCAAAGACATCAAACCGCTTCTCAGTGATTAATCTGTGAGACCCTGCCCATGTGTCCCCCTACAGGTCTGTGGGGCGCAGCACACACACACACACACACACACACACACACACACACGCACGCACGCACGCGCGCGCGCGCACACACACACACACACACACTCACTTTGTGCAGGGATTCAGGAGGTTGCTGGGAAGCCTTAAACAGCTCTGCCACTTTGCTGGACGACAGTTTCCCGGGAGTGTCAGCCTGGCACCGAGCATGGAGACCTGAGTAATACCTCTGCTCGTGTTCGTTCAGGGAGATTAAACTGCCCCCAGACGCCGCAGCGGATTCCTGATCCATTCCCAGGGCTGACGCATAGAGGACCCGCTGGAGAAGCGCCGCAGCCAAACCGATCAATACATCCTGCTCCCGGCTCCTGTTTCACACCGGAGGAGAGGAGAGGGGGGGGGTTCGGAGAGCGCTATCACCTCACCTCCTGCAGGAGTGGATCCCGTGGAGACACGCCGCCCGCTCGGCTCCGGCGTGTCCACTCCCACCGCCTATTGTGGCCGATTGTAGCGCTACCGCTACCCGCCTGATGGCGGCGCCAGAGCGCAGAATAAGACAAAACAAGACCCTGTTTACCACTGCAGAGTAAATGTCCACATTGTTGTATCGTTGCAGAATTTCAGCTAAATTTAACACTTGATAAAATCTGCATTAACAGCCAGTTCCCATTATTATCTAAACGTTTAGAACAGAAGGTGAAGCTTGTCAATCTAAAATGTTTGAAAGCAAATCTACAAAAATGAGGTCAATTCCTAAGATTTAGATGGTAAATTTCAGATTGAGATCTGTTTGCAGGGGGTGGAGGAACTGCGTTTTAGATGTATGTTGATCATAGTTTGCCCCACTGGTATTAAGAGAATTATGTCTAATCTTACATCCTCCTTGCTTCAAACAACCACACACAGGGGAGTTGATGATAACTGATTAATATAATAAACAACCCATTCATCAAATGCAAAAAGTATTTATAATTCAAAGACAATTGGCCAGACTAAAGCATCTGATCATTTAGTTCAGCTGGCCAGAATGCATGTGTGATTATGTATTTAATATAATGCCATGTGCTCATAAGAACCAGCTTTTTTGTTGCTCAAATGCTAAAACCTAAATATGTATTTGAGGGTTTATTCCAAATATTAAGTTAACATTCTAATTCAGACAGCTGCTGAATGGAAGTAGTTTACCAAAATAAAAGCAGAGTAAAAAGATCATATGTCTAATATGGTAAGTGGCCTGTGTTTGCCTTCTTGGGGTTCTACAACCCCCCAAGGCACTTTACAACACATTCAGTCATTCACCCACTGGTGGGGATAAGACACAAAGTAGTCCCAGCTGCTCTGGAGCACACTGGCAGAGGCGAGGCTGCAGACTGGCACCACCGGCCCCTCTGACCACCACTAGCAGGTAAGGCGGGTTAAGTGTCTTGCCCAATGGCACAACAGTAGAATTCTGTGGTCAAAGCCAGGATCGAACCTGCAATCTTCCAATTACTGGACAACCTCTCTCTCCTGAGCCACTGCTGTCCCAATATTTCTGAGAACCTTTCATGACACGAGGGTGTAAGCCAATCGGAATATTGCTCACAAGCTTAATATCAAAGGGACTGAAGTGTGGGATTTCTTCCCTTCCTTTTATTTTGCCAGGATTTAAAGGACTAATTAGGAGAAGGGCGAGACAGAGAGCAGTTCAGATGACTCTTCATGAAAAAATGCGACCATGTAGTCTTGTGATTCATGGTATGGACTAAACTAAGTCACCTTCAGATTTGCCCCTATTATTTAGCTAAAGTTGATGTTTTAATTTTCTGAACTCTCAGAACTGTTAGACTCCTTCATGAGGCTGTTATGGAGCTAGAGAGCTCCTTGCCTCCTTCAGTGACAGACTGCTGCATCCTTGGTGCATGAAGTAATCCAACAGGTCCTTCCTCCCAGCAGCTGTTAGGATTTACAACCACCACTGCTCCCAACAAAACCAGTTAACAGGTTTTGCCTCCATGCTGCTGTTTATTTGCATAGTTTCTGTTATTTTACTTGCACTCATTCCTATCTCATTTACAGTTTCCAGTCATTTCCTGTAAATATTCTGCTTGTCTTTTTACACAGTATTTTCTTTTTAAAAATGTGGTTAATGAAATAAAAAAATTTGAAAGCATTTTTGAAAGCGGCTATTTTGTTGCTAATTAGCAGGAAATATCTAGAAGAAAGTAGCTAAGGGTCCTCAGAAATGTAGCTAGCTTTGTCACTAGGCGTTAGGAACAGCGACAAAGTGGCACTGCCTCTCTCTCTGCTGCTAAAGCTACGGATAGCAAATGCTACGGGCGATGCCTGAGCGTGAACGCGCATGAAGCAGCCTGCTCGACCCGAGCATCTCTCTTTTTCTGTGATTTTACAGAAAAACAGGCGATCACAGTAAAAATGCCAGGGCTCATTCTACAGGACCAGGGCATTGCAGGAGAATGTATGAAGAAGACATTTATTATTTCTATACATGTTTTGGCTGTCAAACTTACATAATGCCCCTTTAAATGTATTTTTTTCACTGTAAATCTTTTTATTATTTTCTTCTTCTTTGCTCCAGATTTGCTGCTGTGAGACTAAACTCTCACCCTAACCCTAACCCCGAGGGACAACAAAGGGCTTTCTACTTTATTCAGGCATTCGTGGGGAGCACATAGAAACTTTTGGCAACGCGGAGAAACAGAACATCTTGTCACTAAAATAAAGTAAAACTACTTGTCTTGTGTTAGTGTGATGGATGACGGTTTTACCTCACAAATGTGCAGCTCTTTTATTTTGTAGCAAACTAGCAGATAATTTTAAACACTTTTCCAGAAAGCTGTACTGCACACAGAGTTTTTTCCTGTTTGTCTGATCCAGAAAACAGAATTCTGTTACTTTATATAAAACGGCTGGGATACATCAGGGACATGGCGTTTTGCTGGTTTCTTTCTCCTGATAGCTCGGCCTCTTTCTGGTGACCTCTATCTCTTTAAAAGGATGATGGGTGAGTTCAGATGTGTCTTGCATTATTAAACCAGAGCTTTACTTTAGGTTTGTCCTGAAACACTAATCTGAGTTTCTTTTGAGGGTTTGCAGCTTTGACTCATTTTGCGTCTTGTTCTGTGGATAAAATGCTGGAAAAGATTTTTCTTATCATCTGTTTGCCATCTGCTTTGACAGCACAGCTCTGTATTCCCAGTAAGTGACCAGTTAAAATGTAACTTCTGATTAAAGCAGGTTCAGCCAGTGGGAAACCAACAGCTCTGGTCAGAGAGGAATTTAGATAATCTCTCTACTAGAACACAATCAGATTAGGCACGTAACTCAGGTGTTTGCCTCATGACAGTCTCACACAACAGTCAAGAGCCAGACTACAATGGTAAAAAAATTATTTGGGGCTCTGATTTGAAAGTAGTACACTGAAATTTAACAGCTTTATTTGATCACATTAAAGCTACAAAAGCAAATTTGGAAAGCAAATTAGCTTAAAATATTTTTTCATGCCTCCTAACGTTCTAACATAGTATAGCTCTAAATATGTTAAAAGCTCCAAATATGGAGTTAAAAGAAACAAAAAAATTAATAAAGTGGTTCTCCCGCTTTTGTCTAAAAACCTCCACCAATAACACGTTTCAGACCGAAAACATCTATCACACCATCTGGTTGTCGGTCTTACCAAACTGCCACACTTCTGCACTTCCCTGGGTCCTCCACTCAGGTGTTTAGCCACAGTACACCGCTGGTGTCAGAGGTTCTCGACTCAATAATATCAGAGAAGGAGAAACAGCCGGCTGCTACCACTTTAAATTTAGGACAAACTACCAGAGTCCCAAACAGAAAAACACCATTTGAAGCCACAGACAACAAAAGACGTTTGGACCTAGAAAATGGTGATTGATGTTTAGTTCAATCTCGTTTACCCCGGCATCGCGGGTCTCCGGTTCTGGCCTGTATTCAATATAGCGCCTTCTAAAGTCTGGAGCCACCCAAGGCGCTTTACAACATAATCAGTTATTCACCCATTCACATGCTGGCGACGATGAGCTACAGTGTAGCCTCAGTTGTCCTGGGGCACACTGACAGAGGCGAGGTTGCCACTAGCAGGCAAGGTGGGTTAAGTGTCTTGCCCAAGGATACAACGCCAGCGACAAACTGAGCGGGACTTGAACCTGCTACCTTCTGATTTTGGGGTGAGCACTTAACTCCTGCGCCACTGTCGCCCCTTAGCTTGTTCTGTAAATTCAGTAAATCAGCTTTAAGCTTTAAAAAACCTAAATATTAAGAATAACATTTAAGAAAATAAAGGAAAATCTAAATATTCACAATGTTATTTAATTAAATCTCTCAAAGGTATGTAAAGGACTGCAAAGTTAAACCTAAACATTTAGAATCAAACCTAAACATATAAAGTCACATTTAAATTTAATTATTGAAAGTTAATTCTATGGGGTGGTAAACTAAATATTTAACTAACATACAAATGCACAAAGCCATAAAACAGAACCAGGATGAAGAGATCTCCTCTAACATCTTAAAGCCACTTTGATGCTGAGATTACAGCAGAAAGTTTCAACATGGACTATTTTTCATTAATGTACGAGAACCCAGACAGAGTCATCAGAAAACTTCACAATCTAACATCAAAAGCACTCGGAGATGTTATATGAGGGGTATATTCACCTTGTTTTAATTTGAGTTTTCCAGGTTGGGTTTACAAAGTCTAAATGTACTTATTTACTAGATGTTTAGTTTAAAACCAATACATATATTTAGAGTTTAAGCCTAAGAGGTAAATGTAGACCTTTAACATTGATATTAAATGTATTTATTTAATTATGTGACTTTTTACACGTTTATTTTATGTTTTGAACATGTAGATTTAATATTGTATTTTCTTGTTGAGAACAAGTGAAAATTTTCCTCTATTTTCATTTCAGTGAGATACAAAGTGTGACAATGCAGCTGTTGTTTTTCCCCAATGTGTTACTTTATAATCTGTGCCTCATACAAATGAGGACATGGATTTAATTTTACCGTTATTTTAAATCTGAGACACAAATCCTGAACATTTAACATGTTTCATCCGTAGATGCTCCAGCTGCCTGCCAAGTTCGACTCAGGAACAAGCCTGCAGGACATCGGGCGGTTAGTACAAACCTGACATTTCTCCACTTTCTTAAAAAAGTCTCACTTTCTGATCAGATGTTATTTTTCTGAGGCAAAATGAAAACCTTTTCGCTACGGTATGTAAAAAAACCCACAATGCTACTTAGTTACGAGCAAAGTGAACAGGCAGAGATTCATGAAACGGAAATGAATAAATGTTCATGTACATAAATGAAACACATATTGTCTTTGCAGAAAAGTTATTTTAACTCAAATGAAGAAACTGTGTGTAAAATCTGAATCTGCACTGCCGAAGGTCCTTGACAACATTTTATTGGCTAATGATTCCAGTGATGCTGTGGTTCTGGTGCTCTTGGACTTGACATCAGCCTTTGATACCATTGATCATAGCATCCTAATAAACCGGCTGGAGCGGTCTGTGGGCATTACGGGCCAGGCACTTAAGTGGATAAGATCCTACTTAACAGGGAGGAGTTTTTGTGTGAGGTTGGAGGACTGTTCCTCTGACCTGGCTGAGCTGCCTAGGGGAGTGCCCCAGGGATCGATTTTGGCCCCACAATTTTTCTCCCTATATCTCCTACCCCTGGGTGACCTATTCCGCAAGCATGACGTGTCATTCCATCTATATGCTGATGATTGCCAGGTCACTTTTCCAATTAGGCATGGTGGTTTATGCACCATTCAACCTTTGTTGGACTGCCTGGAGGACATCAAGCTATGGTTGGCTCAGAACTACTTGTGTTTCAACAAAAGCAAGACTGAAGTAATTCTGTTTACTCCACCAAAGACCCTAGGAGGGGCCCAAGGGCTTGATTTTTCCACTCTGGCACCGCATCAGAAGGCGGTGGTCACTAACTTAGGGGTAAAACTGGATGCAGAGCTCAGATTTGATGCTCAAGTGAACGGAATCATGAGATCTTTGTGGTGTAGCAAGTCCATCACACAGGCTTTTGTTATGGTTGTAGGATAAATGAAACCAGGCTCAATAAACAACTGTTTTAATGTTTATTTAAAAAGGGTGAAGCGTTTGGACCTGTAAGAAGAAGAGTTGGTATGAATATTGAGGATTTAAAGTGGTAAATTATTGTTTGCACTTACCTGTTTCCTTTGTGCTTCTGGAGGTGTTCCAGCTAAAAGAGTCCCTAGGGAGCTGGAGTACCTAAAGAAGGTTCCGGAGCATTCCATTCAGGAGGAATGGGAGTGGTGACCTGTGAAATTGCTCTAGGAAGGCAGATTAGTTTCATTGAATGTTTTTAGGATTAATTAAAGATGTTTATATTTTTGTATTGTAATTATTTAAAGCGATCTTAGAGGTGAGGATGTAAGGATAATTTAAGAATATGGAAGGATTGTATTTTTGTATTTACCTGTGTCTGGTTTAGGATTGGTCCAATTAGTCACACCTGTCATAAATACAGCTCTGTGTTTGCCGGAAGGGTGATGGATGGAGCGGCAGGCATGGATTTGTGCTGCCTAGATTTTAATTTTGTAAAATGTAAATAAAATACACTTGGGTCTGCACTGGCCATCGGCCTCCTCAGTATTACTTTTTCCTCCAGAGCGCATGAGGGTCATCCTGACAAGTGCCCTCGGCACCACGATCTTGCTTCTTTCATCTATGCCGTATAGCAAAAATTAAGCCATTTCTGTCACGTAGTCATTTGGAAACTGCGATCCATGCCTTTGTTACCTGCAGGCTGGATTATTGCAACTCGCTATATGCGGGGCTTAGGCAAGCTCCAATAGCACGCCTCCAGGCGGTTCAGAACTCGGCTGCTCGGTTGTTAACATGTACCAGGAAGTCTGAACATATTACACCAGTCCTACATGCCTTGCTTTGGCTCCCTGTCTCCTATCACATCAGGTTTAAGGTAATCCTGTTTGTGTTTAAGGCGTTAAACTCAGGGGCACCTAAATACCTTTCTGACATCATCCAACGACATGTCTCGGTGCGTTCCCATAGGTCAGGTCTTTGACTTCCAGAAAAGACACATTGCCCATTCCTAAAACTGTTAAATTGCACTCTTTTCAGTTAAAGAGGACTTTTAATGTCAATATATAAAGTTTCTTCTCTGTTTGGTCAGACATAAATGATCCCTTGATGTGTAAAAAGAAGTGAACAGTGGAAATGTCCCAGGAAAAGAGGAGGGTTAATCAACCTAATTAAATATAATTATACAAAGTCCTCTTTATCTGAAAAAAGTGCAATTTTCCTGCCAGTATTTCCTGGACATGCTTTGATTGCATAATGGAGAGCTGTCTGATTGGCTGGTGGAGAGGCTACATTGCTTTGTAAATTGCAAATTGAGCAACAGCAGGGAGATCTGTGCAGACAGAGACGGAGGTGAGCATGCAGAGAGAGGGCTGCACACGACTGCAGAGCAGGTGTTGCTCTTGCAGATTGATCACTGCACGCTCCAGTTGGTGGCTCAAAAATCACTCCACACTAAAACCCTGAATCAGAATATGGCCGAATGTGTATATTATTGACCGTTTTTCTATATTATATATTTTTTCTATAATACATATATATTATATTATAGGTACATATATGTATCTATAAAATAGAAAACAGCCAGTTTTATATATGTCACATATATTCAAGAGCTATATCAAAACATATATTAAAACCTATATGTTTATATGAATTCTTTCCATGTGGGTTGTCAGTTGCTTAATATTTCCTATGTTTACCTATGGGAAAGAAAGGAGATGTTGTATTCGTCTAACTTTAACATAAATTTTGGCAGCTTAATGTGACGTTATGGACAATGCCATCATCATGAGCAACCAAACGTAGGCTATATTAGGCTAACAGTTGTCCATATTCTGTCCCATTTATCTGCATGGTCGAGGTCAGTGATCTACAGTGAAAACAGGGTCGAGCGCACCGTTATGAGCATTTACCTGAGCACAAAGTTCCCAAGCAAAATTGAACAGTTTTCTATTTAGCAGTGAACAGGTAAGAGACCTTGAGAAAAAAAACTATAATTATCATCTGACCTGCAACCTTATGTCAAGTTGTATCTGTATAGTTGACTTTCTGTATTATAAGTTCTACTACTTGCTGGATATTTTTATATATACTGTTATTTTGTCTTGTAGTAGTTAATTATATACTCCTTTATTCCATATCATATCAGTGTTATTCATATATTAAAACTGTCAACTGCACACTCATTTGGCAAAATAAAAGTTTGACAATTATTCATTTGTTCTTTATTGTCATATTTCTGTAACATTTATAATTAAACAAGTTGTAATTAAACAAATTAAATAAATGACCACAACATTTCCCCTTGTTAAGTGCAGTAGACTGAAATAAACTTTATTTGGAAATCAACATATCTATTTTTTAATGGACTTATATAAAATCTTTCTTCAACATAGACCCCACTAATGAACTGAGTGTTATTTTTTATAAAAAGAAGAGAGAAAATGCACAAAGGTAGGAAAGGAAAAGAAAGTGATAAAATAACCGGTTTTGTTAAATGTTCTTCAGATAATGAATTCATTGACGAAGTTTTTGCAGGGTGTGAAAAAAAGTTCTAGGTCAAGCTCCTGGGGCTAAGCCCCCCCCCCCCCCCCCCCTCCCCCTCCATCTCTCAATCCTAGTGACGTCCATGATTTGACTGACTAGAGTGCTCCAGCTTCTTCTTCTACACACAGCTTGATGTCTCTCAGCTGTGGAGCACCTGTCTTATCAGTCGGATGCTACGCAGAGCACCACGTGTGAAGGTATCCAATGTTATGTCTTTCCAGTTTGTAAGAATTTAGTGTACAGGAGGCCAATTCTTAGCAGAAAATCAAATTTTTGCTAAATTTATTGTCAGGGTTAAATGCTGTCCACATTTATGCTGGGCTGCTTTAGCACACATGTGGAAATCAACTGCAAGCCCCTTCCGAATATCAGAGCTTCTCAGCTTATAGCAGCCTGAGTGTGAGATGGGTGGGTGTGGCCAGCTCCAGCTTGTTTAAAGTGACAGGACCCTGAAACGGCTTCTGCCAGACGATGAAAATGCTTTTTGGATTTGGTAAATGGCCACACACACATTCACACACTGGTGGAGATGAACTATGATGCAGCCACAGCTGCCCTGGGGCATACTGACAGAGACGAGGCCTGCCAAACGCTGGCGCCACAGGTCCCTCCAACCACCACCAGGCAAGGCAGGTTAAGTGTCATACCCAAGCATTCTCTGATTGGAGCCATGAACCCACAACCTTCTGATTACCGGACTACATGCTCAGCCTCCTAAGCTGCACTCTTGATTTAGATCAAAGAACTTCATGAACATGTTTTATGACCACAGAAATGTAACACATGACAAAATTCACGATATGCCCCTTTAAACTTAAGGAAGACTTTAGACTTTCCTTTCACTTCAACATTGATGACTCGTGACTTAACTTGGATTTGAGCCTGCTAACAAATGCTTGATATGTCTGACAAAAAGATCCAAAAAAATAAATAAAATAATAAAAAAGAAGCAACATCAGCACTTGTTTGTTATTGTAAATCAACAGAAGTTGTGCTTGCTGCGTATTTTTTGTGATAAATAAAACTACTTACTCATACGTTCTGGAAATTGTTTATTTATCTGTAATTAAATTAAAATGTTTCTCAAAATACTTGTTTAGAACTCGAATTTAAAGTTTAAGACTGAGACCTGACCCAGGACAATTAAATGGGATCATATTATTGTTCATCTTTGTTTCATTATTCAAACATCATCCTATGAATGCAAACTTTGAGTTTAATTTACCAGAAAAGTTGGACAAAGAGGAAAAAAAAGACATCAAACTTTTAGCAGACTCTCATGTTCATATTTTTCACGTAATCACAAAAGGTGCATCCATCTGGAAAGAACTACCCAGTCTGGTGCTTAGTTTCAGAGACAACACGGCATTTCACAAGGATGAGACATTAATCAGGAATTAATGTGCTTACGTTGGAATTCTGATTTATCTCCATCCATCCATCCATCCATCCATCCATCCATCCATCCATCCATCCATCCATCCTCTTCCACTTATCCGGAGTCGGGTCACAGGGGCACCAGCCTAAGCAGAGAGGCCCAGACTTCCCTCTCCCCAGCCACTTGGGCCAGCTCTTCCGGGGAATCCCAAGGTGTTCCCTGGCCAGGTGAGACATAGTCCCTCCAATGTGTCCTGGGTCTACCTTTAGGCCTCCTCCGGGTTGGACATGCCTGGAAAACCTCACCAGGGAGGCGTCCTAACCAGATGCCCGAGCCACCTCAACTGGCTTCTCTTGATGTGGAGGAGCAGCGGATCTATGTCGAGTCCCTCCTGGATGACTGAGCTTCTCAACCTATCTCTAAGGGAGAGCCCAGACACTCTGTGGAGAAAACTAATTTCGGCCGCTTGTATCTGCGATCTCGTTCTTTCGGTCACTACCCAAAGCTCGTGACCATAGGTGAGGGTAGGAACGTGGATCGACCGGTAAATCGAGAGCTTTGCCTTCTGACTCAGCTCTCTTCACAACGACAGACCGGTACAACGCCCGCATCACTGCAGATGCAGCACCAATCCGCCTATCGATCTCACGCTCCAGCTTTCCCTCACTCGTGAGCAAGACCCCGATATACTTAAACTCCTCCACTTGTGGCAGGACCTCGTCCCTGACCTGGAGAGGGCATTCTACCCTTTTCCGACTCAAACTGAGCCTTTTCTCACAAAAACAAAAGTGACACATTTTGAACTAATACATAGCAGTTAAACCCAAAGCGATAGCATATAGCACAGTCTGTAGTAACAACAGTAACGATACCCTGAGTATTTCCCATAACTCTCCTCAAAGACACGACCATTTAAGGAGAAAAGACCATTCTGTAATTTATAAACTTTAAAAATATTTAATGACAAATGGTTCCTGATCTGGTTAATTTTGCAGAATGCCTGGAATGAAGGTGAAAAAGTATTGTTCCAAACAACTATGGCCTTTGTTATGAGGCAGCACCTAAAACAAGAGTTCAGGTAAGAAAACTATTTTTTTTCTGTTTGGTTTGGTGTTTTAGTGTTGGTCATAATGAGATGAGTAAGTCTTGTCTCTGTGGACTTTATGCAGCTTGTCAAACATCCTTGTGTGTAATGAGACCGCCCCTGTGTCTCTTTGGTTTGTGGTAACGTCACCGCTTGACCCAACGCTTCTTGTTGACAAAGAGGATGTGGCGGCAGCAGTGAGGTAATCACATGACTCAGATGCTGTGGTTCCACTTGAATTATTTACCAACACTGTTATTCTCTCTCCATTTAGATGCCATATGCAGTAAAAACTGTGGTTATAAACTTGGTTTATTAATAATGTAACCGTGTGTGTGTGACTGGACTTTCAGCCCTACGTCTTAAGTGTTCAGACCTTCATTCCAAAAACACAGCATGGGAGAGCTGGTAAACAGGGTCTCACTGCTTTAAAACCCAATAATGGAAAAAGTTGCAGATCTTTCTCCACCTCTTGTGAAACTTTGGTCACCACTATGTTGTGTGGTGGAAGCTCAAAGAATATGGCGGGTGTCTGTGATGGCCACAGGCCTCAGTGATGAAGACTAGAAGTGAACAAGCTCAGAGGGAAGAATGTTTGTCCATGTGAGTTATTGTCATCTAACATGTTCATGGTCCAAATGAGTCTGTGGTACGTTTTGCATCAACAAACAGGTGAAGATGGAGGTTGTGGGGATTGCTTTTGAAACTCCTGAGATAAAAAATAGACAGAAAAACCTTTTGGTCACAAAAGAACAAACTTTGACCAGGATGATAGTTTGCCCGCCCATCATGGCAGAAGAGGTTTGTGATGCAAACAGAAATGACGGTGAATTAAATAAATGTTACTGTTAAAGTCCCTCGTTTGTGTTGCATTAATCACACTTAACCCTACTTCATATCTTTTGAATCCAACATTGTTTTTTATCCTATAGAAAATTCAGACATCGTATCAACTGCGTCTTTCTGCTCACTGACCTTACTCTGGAGTTTGTGGACCTCTATCCCACCCTGGCAGAACCTGCAAAGCTCCGACTGAGTGTGTACCTCGTCGTGTTCCTGGTGATGATGAGTGTGATTGGTGCTGTCATGGTTGTTCTGTTTGTGTCCACTGTGAGGGAGTTAAAATGGTGAGCTAGTGTCAATTAGGACTAATGATAAGATCTGATAACTGAACTTGATGTTTTTATTTATTTCAGCAAGAAGAAGCAGGAAGCAGACAAGGGTGAAGAACAGCAGAGGGTGAAAAAAGTAGAAAACGGGTCCACCAGTGAGGACGTTCATGACACAATGTTCTAATATAATGATGGATCAAACAAATGTAAAAAAATAAATAAATAAAACAATCTATGGAGTCTTGCATGTAATTAGGATTATAAATATGTTAATTAAGGATCTCAGTAGAACTTGTTTCATTGCATTGATTATGCAAAATAAAGGTCTTTTTATACTTATAATTGTGATGATTTTTTCTCTTGAATCGTTTGCAAAGGAAAAAAAATAAAAACAAACCTTTTTTAAACAAAGAAACCAGGACTTACAGTTGTTTGTATACCAGCTCTTTCCTTTTTCAAAACACGTCCCCTTTTCTTGATGTTTAATAAAATAGAGATTTATATGACAGAAAAATTAGTAAATCAAACTAGTGTAAAAACAGCTTTTAGTCCCCTACACTGCCCCCTGCAGGCCACCTAGGGTGACAGCACATCTCATTCATTGCAAAAACATGGCCTTTTGTCCAGAGTTCGCTAAAGACAACCCCGCTAGATCCCTTTTCCCTTTAGGGCTACCTTGAGTCTGCTAGTGATCAATTCAACATGGTGTTGGAAACGTTCCTCAGACATTCTGCTTCAGCATCACAGTTACATCCACGATGGGAATCTCCCGTTCCACCACATCCCAAAGGTTCTGGACTGGATTGATGTTTGGTGACTAGAGGTGGTTGGAGTCCAGTGAACTCATTCTGGAAACCAGTTAGAGATGCTCTGACCTTTGTGACATGGTGCTTTATCCTACTGGAAGCAGACATCAGAAGATGGGTCCATGTGGTCATAAATAGCAACAATACTCAGGTAGGCGGTGGTGTTTAAACCAGGCTCAGGTGGTACTAAGGGGTCCAAAGTAGGACCAGAACATCTCCCCCACACCATTATACCACCTGCATGCTGGAGTCCATCTGCTTCAAGCTTCAACATGCTGTGGTTCAGAGATGCTGTTCTGTAGACCTTGGTAGGTTGGAGCTGCTGTTGTCTTTCTATCAGCTATAACCAGTCTGACCACTGTCCTCTGACACCAACAAGATGTTTTCAATGGACATTTCCTCTTTTTCAGACCATCCTCTGCAAACCATAGAGATGGTTGTGTGTGACAGTTTGAGCGGTTTCTACATTACAACCAGTTCCTCTGGTAACAACGACCTTATGTTCAAAAACTTACACGTCCTTTATGCTCCATTCTGATGCTAATTTCCCCTCCAGCAGAGTCTTCACCATGTCTTGATGACTAAATGGATTCAGTTGCTGCCAAGTGATTGGCTGATTAGATATTTGTGTTAACAAGCAGTGGAGCAGGTGTACATAATAAAGTGGCTGATGATGAGTAGAGTGGAATTAGGCTTTTATAATCAATGATAGCAAACTCTTGCATGCTCATCTGGAAGTTCTTTTTGTTAGCCCAAATCAGTCTTCATCATCATCATCATCATTGCACTCCAGTTTCTTTTCACAATGAGACAAACTCCCTTGAAACTCAACAGCTGAGTGAAAGTGCAGCAGTCCAGGATGATGGGAAGTGATTTCATCAAAGATCAGTGGAAGCGTTTGAACAAACAAATATGCTATGTTAAGACTGTTAACTGATAATGAACACAAGTAAACCCAAGCAAACATCTTTTACTTAAGATCAGTGGAGTGTGCATGCTGAGAACCTGACCCTGCAGCTCATTAGACATTCCAAATGTTCCTGTTATCTGCTGCTCAGCCCTCCTGTCGGGTATGGTGTCTCTGCACACAGGTTCCTGGTATCTGTGGAGATGGTAGCCTTCTTTTAACATCAACTCAAGGCTGCAAGTCTGCTGTTCAGACGATTGCTCAAACTGAACCTTGTACAACCACGTGACCTCTCCCTGCTTGAGTGAATAAAAACAGCCGTGACAGAATGAGCGACAGAACACATGCATTCGAGCTGCTGGAGCAGGACGGTGGTCCCTGCGTGAGAGCTGTGTGTGTGTTGTCCCTCTGCAGCGGTGAATCTTATTTTGACTGTTTTTTGTCTCCAACATCAACTCAGAAGCAAACATCTTTTTCTCCAATCGCTCCGAACCTGTCTTGGTCATTTCAGGACCTACAGCTACCTGTGGAACCCTTATTCTTGTGCACTCACTCCTCTACTGATGACTAAAGGATCATCAAACGTTTCTCAAAAGACAAAAAACAACAACAAAAAAACTCAGAAACTAGAAAAACATGAATGGTTTTAACATTTCTTTGATTTGAAATACCCTCTTTGTATGGAAGAAATACAGAATCTACCTCTTTATTTCTCTCTCTCACACACACACACACACACGCACACACGCACGCACACACACGCACACACACACACACGCACACACATACACACACACACACACACACACACACACATACACACACGCACACACACACACACGCACACACACACACACACACACGCACGCACACACACACATACACACACGCACACACACACACACACACACACACACACACACACACACACACACACAGTTGTTCAACTAGTAGTTCCACTTGTGATATTTCTGTTCAGTTTCAGACAAACATGTTTTATGGCTCATTTCAAGAGTTTTGGAAAGCTTAAAAAAGTTACACACGTAATATTTTATGTTGTGGGCATCCCATGTCACTTTTATAAACCTCTTCAGAGGGGGTCAAGAGGTGCCCATGGTGCAGAAATAATCACAACAAAGTGAAATGAGCACAGATTATCTGCAAAGTAATTCAGCTACTTTTACTTTAATCTGGAAATTAATCAAGAGATTTAACTTTGTAGTCTGTCTACATCAGAGGTCACCATCTTGGTGCCCATGGCCACCATGGGGCCCCCAGGAACCATATGAGGTGCCCACAGGTTGTAGGCAGCCTAAGTCTCCTCCCTTTCCGGTTGGCTCATGGGTCCTTGGAAGAACAAAAAACTGAATCCAAGCCAACGGGGCTAAAAGAGCTGCTTGCTACCCCTCTTTGCCTTGGACCCTGAATCACACATGTTGTACTTCTGTTTAAATGAAAAGTAATGATGTGTGTTTCGACCATGCCAGTCACGTACTTTCAGATTTATCAGCTTGTAAACGCTTGTTATTAACAGAACTACAAAGCAGATGTCAGCATGTTGCATATATGACGTCACCACAGCATCTCCTGTCCCCTAGCGTAGCTGCTACTTACCAAATGGCTCGATTTATGGTGGTTCTTTCCTCCCGAAGGAAGGACACACTCGCACCCCTGGCTGGGATCGCACAATTAAAGAGCGCAAGTGTGGAAATGTGAGAATTGGGATTTATTTTCTGGTATTAGGGCATTTAGCTTCAAATGGGATAATAGCAACATGACTACCAGTGACTACGTTTCCTCTGCAACCTTGATGTTTTATCTTCACAAATAACACAAGCCTGGAGGAGCTCTGCCGTGAGGTGGAGCTGCTACTGCTAACAGTTAGCTTCTACTAGACATTCTCTGCTGTTTCTTGGGACACTAAACCAACAGCCTCCTTCCCTTTTGCAAGCCGAGATGGGTGAGTCCATGACTGTTAGGTGACAGTGTGACAGATCTGTCAGGCTTTTCAAACCCTACATTTTCAGTGTCAGCAGCTAATGCAGAAGAGACTGTACAAGGCTATTTTCAAGTTCAGCCTGCATGAAAAACTCAACGTAACTGACTATGATCAGAAATAATAATAATAACAACAAAACGTTTTTTTCAGTGTTCTACACCTTTAAAAACGTTAAAATGTGTTTATCGTGCATGAAGGTTAGTTTAACTCTGGTCTCTAGTGTGTCAGCAATACCCACAAAGTAGTTCTCAGCTTCATAAAAGTTGGTGACCCCTGATCTAAATGTCAGAATTAAAGATTTCTGAATTGCTGATGGTGCTTCACAAAAGTCTCAACATTCCTGCTGAAGTTTGTTTCAGCAAAATAAAGAATACGACTCAACATTCAGACTCTTTCACGACCAGTTCTGCCAGAACGGCTCGGATAAGAGCACCACTGCAAAGCCTTCTCTCTTACAGACTTCACAAGGATTTGTGACTAAACCCATCAGTGCTTCTTTTTGGCGGTACTGACGTGTCCTGCTGCTTTAGGACACAGATGCTTTCCACACAATTACCTCTAGGTGGCACCATCGTGCAGCAAAACACTAATGACCTCTCCTGCACAGATGCCTTGACTATTTTAAGTAAAAAACAAAACTGTGATGCACTTTAAAGCAAATGTTATAGTACTTTGCAACATAATTCACTATTTATAACCATGTTTGGTTACAAAATCCCAGAATGTGCATCACTTTGCCAGAAGATGCTCACGGTGTGATGTGTGGCGAGGACCGCGTTATAATTTAAGCTTCCTCTAATGCAGTTCATCCTTTTGCCCGAGGAGTCCTTTCCACCACATTTTCATGAGCAGATGCCAACAAATTTCACTCAAATTTAGTTTAAAAGCGTTCCAAGCCCATTGAAACGGCACGGTTATAGAATCTGAATGTTCACAGTAGAAGTAGAGAGGAAACAATAGGGAGGAATACATTTTTATCATGTTATTGAAAATAATGTCACTATTTTAATAACTCTGTCCAGCACCTTACTGAATAACAAACACATTTTTCAAATTTCTTCCAGAATGAGTCATTGTCAAATTCCTGAAGTGTTCTCAACAAATGCTTATTTTCCTTGTCGCCTGCCTCCTGCGCTCATCAAGGGAACAGCGTCCGCGTGCGCTGCAGGAAAAAGGACTTTTGTTTAAAGCAAGCTGAGCAAGTCACTGAAAAATGATTTTAGAGGAGAACTTTTAATAAAATAGGGGATTAAACCGTTTCTGTGCTAACTTAAAGGTGAACATAAAACAGTGCATCTCAAATGAGTGATGAGACCATTTCCTGTGTTTCTAGTCAACATACCGGCACCAGAGTAAATCCATTCAGCTTATCTACAGGTGGGCATCATTTACCTCGTAGTGTTGGCTTTACTGACTCTTCTGGTAAATCAGCAGGATTCACAGTAAAGGTAAACGAGTGACCTACAACTGTCTAAACGTTAGTGAACTCAGGTGCAAAAGCATTCAGATTCCAGATTTTCCTGCTGAGCTCAGCTTTTAAAACTATCAATATGAAATATCACAGTTTCAGTCAATATTTGATCAAGCCTATTCCCTGACAATTCAGAAGTCAGAGTGAATATTTTATAAAACAAAAAAGTAAATTTTTCATAAGATTAGCTTTGAAAGCTCGTGTGCATTATTAATGCCAGTTCTGAGAGTCGGTGTGAAAAGCGACAGGTTCCACGCGGAGCTGAGAGCTGTACCCTGCTCGGATTACTCCACACTTCTCCATGATTCTTCACGGAGGGAGAAAACAAGGTGATTTCTGTCGGAGGCTGTTGGCTTGTTTCCCCCCACCACTCCTGTGGTTAAAATCCATCATTATCAAAGACCGCTCTCCTCTGTCAAACTTGCCTTTTACTGCAGCCTAGAAATCCCACCTCTGCTGTTCCTTTTCTTTGTTCTCTCTTTGTTTATGAGGCTCATCGAGACCAGCCTCTGCAGTCTCATCTCCCCCATGCTCTTGGGTTTCCTTCTCCTTCTGTCTGTCTCGGATGATCTGCACCAGCCTCTGAAACTTCTGGTTTAACTCTTCCATCCCTCCCTCCGCCCTCCCGTCCTCCTTCTCCCCATCACTCTCCAGTGAACTCAGCGACTCGGCCCTGGAATTTCGACCCTCGAACTCGTAAGTCTGCAGTGAGTCGTAGGGCGGCTGCGACAGGTCAGAGGTGACCCGATTAAGGCGGATATTAAGGAGCTCTTCCATTCGGAGCGGCTGTGGGTTTGAGGCTTCAGCGTGCTCAGGCTTCACCCCTGACACCCAGCCTTTGTTACTGCTGGCTAACACCCCCCCAGGTAAGGTCAGGGACTCTGGAGTTGTGGTTTCCCTCTGGAGCCTGCCTACATTCAGTAGCTGCACACCAGCTGAGTACAACCCACTGCCGCTGGTCCCATTCAAACACGCCACCATGCCGCCTGGGTTCAGCGAGCCCACAATACTGTATGTGTCTCCCTTCGCGTAGGCAGGAGAGTTCACGCAGCTCAGCTGACTGCCATTTGAATAATTTTGCTCTGAAATGGAGGGAATGGAGGAATCAGTGTCGATGTCATCCACAGTGCAGCTGGTAGCTGTGGTGCTGATGTGAGTCTGGGATGACCCTGGTCGGCCTTCTGGTGGGTTTGATGAGAAGCTGGTGTGACTCTGGCACGAAGACTCATAGGTCAGGTCTGCAGCAGCACTGGCTGCTGTCGACTCTGTTTCAGCCGGGTTTAACTGCAACCAAAGACACGAGCACAGATAAATAAAACAAATGATGTTGTCAGAACTCTCAATGAGTCGTTCATGTCTGAGTTTTACCAGTTCAGCAGACCGGGAGGAAGACATTTTAAAAAGATGATGCAAAAATGAGAACGGAATAACGCTGTCCTTGTCTACACATAATCATCTGGTGTTTGTGTATGAGATGACACGCCTCCTACACACCAAACCGTGTGTGCACACAAGAGCACGTCAGGCTTGATGCAGTGAAGTTAGAATGAAAAACAAGCAGCAGCGGAAATTAACATGAAATAAAAGAGCTAATTTCACAGACTCTGCATCTCTTATGAACAGTGTATTTTTATTATATGCAAACACACACACACACACACACACACACACACACACGCACGCACGCACGCACGCACGCACGCACGCACGCACACACACACGCACACACACACACACACACACACACACACGCACACACATGCTACAGCGTACTAATCACAAAGCTAATAGAGAAGGTTTCTTACTTTTCTTGTTATTTATTCACATTTTAGATAAATAACCTCAGCCATGCGTGATGATGACTACTCTGATGTGGCTGGAGGAATTTGCCACGCATTATATTAACGTAGCTTCATTGCATTCATTTCCTTTCCTTTACTGGTGGGCGGTATTTCATCACACAGTGGTGTGACCACCAAGTAAAACACCTTCTTTTCCAGAAGAGTCCCAGTTTAACAGCTGGTGGAGCTATTCCTTTCTCCAGTTGTTGTTTTTATTGCATTATAAAAATAATGGTTTCATTTGCAAATGACTGATAGACAGTCTGCAGCACTCCGCTAAAGCTTGGCGTGAAAAGAATGATAGCAAATCTGCACTTGTATTATTTTGTCTCCTTTTCATTTGATTTATTTCATTCTGATATCACTCACATCATATCAGAGTTAAAAGGAGTGCTGCCTGGCATTCAGACTAAAGAGAAACTAATTCTTCACAGCTGATGATTTAAAAATGAACCTTTTTTATCTGAGGCTGAGGTAATTGATTCATCTTGATTAATTTCTGTCATCTTGGGATAAATAAACTTCTCCTGACTTTGTGGGAAAACAAAACAGCTTTTTTAAAAGCCTCTGAAAGTATTCTTGATCTCTGTTCTCCACCAATAATGAAAGATGGGTCTGACATGAATGTATTCAGCCAGGTTTAGTTTTTCCCCCACGGACTTGAAGCTTCATGCACCAATCTGGATTAAAGTGCCCGAGCACACCGAACATGAAGCTGTGTGCAACTGTGGTGTTTTCTGACCTTGGCCCGTTCCTCGTTCCCTTTTGCATCAGCTGTCTTTGCTTCACTGCTTTCATTTCTGTCTGCGATTGTGCTCTTTGCCAGCATATGGTCTGCTCTGAAACCACCAAGGCTCCTCTCAGGAGAGCGTAGCAAAGGCTCAAAGGTGTTCTGGTTCGGAATAAAGAGGGGATTGCCGGTGTGGCCTCCTGTGAAACCCTGGGTCAGCTGAGTTAGCTGAAGGCCCGCCTCCAGTGGCCTGGCTGCATAATCTCTGAGAACAGGCAGCGTCTGGAAGCCGTAGCAGAAGCGTCCGTAAAGCTGCGCAGAGCCCGGCCTCTGCTGAGGGCCCAGACTGGGCCGTGGGTGGCGGCTCCAGCTGTACGTCCTGGCTCTGGGCGGATTCTGTTGGGTGTACCATCTGTGCCAAGAGATAATTGTCATAAAAACACACATTCTCTCTCTCTCTCTCTCTCTCTCACACACACACACACACACACACACACACACACACACACACACACACACACACACACGCACACACACACACACACACACACACACACACACACACACACACACACACACACACACGAGCCACCACAACAAAAATAAAGCTAGTATTTTTGAATCTCCGGGAACTGCTCACATGTTTCCGTTGTTGTGCATGTGCTGGATTCTGTGCAGAGCTGTAATGTCAAAAGCTGCGGTGTCTGCCTCCCCTCCCCCCTCATCATCGTAGGATATGATGTTTTCCCTGACATCATCCTCCTCAAAGGGTGAGTGGGAGTCTCGTTTCTGATGGCGCAATGACAGCGAGAGAGCACACACCACTAAAGGGCAAAACAGACACATGACCACACACTCGCCCAATGTTCAGAAGCCGCCTGACACAACGGCTCAGCATCTTTCAAAAAGTCACAAATAAACAAATGTTTAGTTTCTCTGAGATGCCATAGGAGTGGGAAAACTTACCCAGCATGGTGGTGACACAAGCCAGCATGGCCAGCAATGTGGCTAAACTGAATATGAGAGAAGGGGAGGCAGACGGTGCGGGCAGACAGACCACGTGTCTCTCCCACCTCGGGTCTCTCTGTTTGCCCCGGTCCTCCGTCTGCATGCCTCCTTGCAGACATGGACAAATGGTCACGGTGACCGTGCCAGTGTTGGTCAGACCCGAG